AGATAGAAACATCAATAATGAAAGAGAATCATTGATTAGATTGGCTGCCTCCTGTACGCCCCACACTGAGGATCAAGCCTGCAACCCGGGCATATGCCCTGACCAGGAATTAAACTATGACCTTTGGTTCATAGGTCGATGCTCAACCACTGAGCCATGTCGGCTGGGCATGCACTTTTTTTTTTGGTCATAATCCATCTGCAGTACAATTTGCTTATTTACATGACCTGCCTGTGCCCTGGAGCATTTGATTTTATATCCCTACTATGAATCAATGAAGGATGCAAGCTCAAAAGCTCAAGACCACAGTGCCTATGCTTAATTTCCTGTTTAGTTTATATAATCTTAAAAATTAATATTAAAAAGCAATACTCACACATAAAAAAATTAAAACAAGGTAGAAACATGTATAGTAAAAAGTATAAGTCCACTGAACCCACTTATCTAAAAATTCCCTTTCCTTGGTCCAAGAAATAATACTGGTAATAGTATCTTTTATATTCATTTATATATTTTCCATGAATAGGGGTTTTTTTTTTAAATCCAACTGGGGCTATCTACTTTTTGTAAGGCTGTGAGTGTATGTAAATACAGCCTTACAAAAGGGTCCCACACATGAACGAGAGCAATGTGGTATATTTAAGTAATTATCTGTATAATTAACAAAAACTCTTGGTGCAATTTCCAAATATTAGAAAAAAAATGTTTTTTAATTACCTGGCTAATTACCTTCATTAGTCATTCTCTTGGCTCCTTTCTTCATGGAAGGAATCCATCCATTCAGTAGACATTCATTGAATTCCTTTTATGTTCAAGGTGCTCTATGAGGTAAAGTGGAAAATACAGAGATGAATTGAAAACAAAATCAACAACATTAATATAAGAAAAAAGTGAGTATTTTCTCCTAAAAGAATGAGGTGAAGGCATTGAATTTTGAATTGAACATGCCCCATTGTCAGTGGATCAAGTCTAAGATTTGAAGGACACTTAAAAGTCCTAGATATAATCCAAACCTGAAAAGGTGAAGCAAAGGAAGAGGTTCAGCTGAGTGGGGAGGGCGTGGATGATGCATAGTTGGTAGGAGGTGGACTGGCCATGTGAGGTGAGGATGAAGGAGAGCTCACTGAAAAAGCATCATTTCTCCTGGTACAGACCTGCAGGCATTTGGTCTGTGTTCAAAAAAAATATGACTGCAGTTTCTTTTCTTTCCTAAAGTAAATTTCAATGACAATTTTGATAAAATGAAACTGGGAAGAGAGAGCTTTAAAAGTAGACATAAAAGATGCAATCAAGAGCCTGGCCAGATGTACTCGTGAGAGATTTAAGGAGAAAGAAATTTTGTCTTATATCTCAGTTACCTGGGAATAAAAATTTGTTGTTGTTGTTGAATACTCTCCTTGAATTGGAGAATGGTAAAAATTGACAATCTTTACAAAAATAAACAACCAAAACCAAACCAAAACCCTGTATGGTTATCTTAAATGCTTTCTCCCCCCCTCTAATTTTTTTAGACAGTTGGGCCTCTTGGAAATAATAGAAAATACCCATCTGTTATAGATGTGCAGTCACTTCTAGGTAAGACATTAGGGGAACCTACAGCACACCCAGAGTTCCAAATATGTCACCATTTACAAATCCTTCATTTTGCTCTCCAGCAACCTGATGCTTTTATATGCCCAACATGGATGAGTAGCTGAGTTATGCAAATCTAGTTTTGACATGCATAATGGCTACGTAAGCCATTATATAGCTGCATGAATGGTACATGGAAACCTCTGAACTATTTTTGCAATTTCTTGTGAGTCTTAAACTACTTCAAAATATAGTCATTTAAAAAATGGTCATGAAGCCAATTTTCATTTTGCTTTGAAATTCATCTTTCTCTTGAATGCCTCAGTTAGAAGCTCTAATTAAAAAATTTCTCACTTAAATGATTTTATGAATACTACTAATTGAAATAGTGATGAGATTGTTCAAATTATTTAAGCAAAAATATTCCTTATGAGGAGAAGAGTTTTTATTCTCTCTTGAGTTACTGAGGCTAATGACAAACTTCACAGGATAATTGGTCAATCTCAGTTTCTCCTTGCTCTCCTTTAGAACTTTAGATATGAATAAGTGTCTTTTATAATAATCCCATAAACGAACTTTTTTTTTGTTCTTTCATCTACATAGTATATGAATAGACCTGACTGAAATATTAGTAGGACCATAACCAATACTATTTATTGGTATTACTTTGTCAATAGGTTTTTTCTCTCCACAACACATTATATCAGTCTATGAATGTGTTATGTTCTATAATAAATTATATAAAATCAAATAATGACCAATTTTTAAAAATTTGCATTTTAAAAATGCTATAAATTCACTTAGAAATAACATTACAGTCCACTTAAAAAATAGTGCTATGGTCTCCAAAATAGGGCTCACATGTCCCAGGGGATGTTCAGGTACATTCATATTAATGGTCCAAACTTGAAAAGTTAAGATGTGACCCAAAGCAATGGTAGTATCAATATACCTCTGCTAATCGTCTTCAGATTTCATTTAGCCAACATTTCTCCACAAGAGTCTTTATAATAAACTAGAGGCCCGGAGCACAAAAATTTGTGCACTCGGGAGGATCCCTCAGCCCGGCCTATGCCCTCTTGCAGTCTGGGACCCCTCGGAGGATGTCCACCTGCTGGCTTAGGCCCACTCCCTGGGGGATCGGGCCCAAGCTGGCAGTCAGACATCTCTCTGGCAGCCCGGCAGCCCTCGGGGGATGTCCACTTACCAGCAGGGAGCAGACCTAAGCTGCAGTCGGACATCCTTAGTGCTGCTGAGGAGGCGGGAGAGGCTCCCGCCACCACCGCTGTGCTGGCAGCCATCAGCCTGGCTTGTGGCTGAGCAGAGCTCCCCCT